TCAGTAAACTCTTTCCACAATAGAAAAGTAAAATTTCTTTGAGTCAACTGAAACATCTGTTGAACAAATTGGTTCAGTTTCATGAGTCTGTTACTAATTCTGAGAAGTAGATGGTGTTTTATAAAATCAGTGGAGTCAGGGGGTTAGTGTCCATATTCTTTACTTTTTTACTATTATTAAAGTAGGTCATGTTGAAGTGTTATGCTTTCATGAATACAGTAATACTGTGGTTAATATTTCTAGTATTTCAAGCTTAACCATTGCTTTAACGAGTTTTCTTCACTGTTTTTAATCAATATTACTAATAAAGTTGTGGGTTTCCAGCTTTATATTCAGTTCTTGGTAATGAAGTAATTTTTTTTCAATACTCTTTAGTGCATTTCTATTTATATTTTCTTGTTTCTGAAGTTTTTTCTACTCTGTTTTACTTATGAAGTTTGAGTATTAACATAATTTTAGTTGCTCCTACTGCTGTTTTCTCATTTGGACTAATTCTTTGTAGCTTCACAGTTGTGGGAAAAATACTGTAGGTGACAAAGCAGTTTATGGATTCACATGGTGGATGCCTAAGAATGTTGTAGAGTCAAAGAACTGTTGTCATATGAATTAATAACAGAAGAAAAAAGGGAGAGATCAAAACCAGTTTCTAAGATTCTGTCCCCACGTGTCAGTAATGCTCTTAATTTAATCTCATACACATACGTGCATCTTAAAACAGTGTTAAGTTCTCGAGTACATCTAACAATAGCATCACTAAAAAGAAATTACAAGTGTAATGCACATCAAGTTAAGTTCTGTGTGCTTTACTGGTAAATATATGAAATCAATGCAAGTTTTTCTTATGTACTACATGTAACTGGCTGTAATACTTGAAAGCTGAACTTTGAATTTAGACAGTGAATATTGATTTCTATATGTATAAAAATATTTCTAAATATATATTTAGATATTTATTTAGACAGTGAGTATGTATTATGTATTACAGTACATATGTGGAAAATACAAGACTGGCATTAAGCATGTGCATTCACTGTGATTGTAAGCTGTGGCATTTTTGGCTTTTTGGTGAGGGTGTTTGATTCAGAGCGGCTTTGTGTACAAAGGATGTGAAAGGAAGTTGATAATACTTTCTAATGTTACTTAAAAAGTAAATGAAATTATCTGTTAATTATGTCTATTTTTGAATTTTTAATATGTTAATCATCTAGTAATTCATTTGGCTTCTTTAAAGTAGAAGATAATGGAGGTATAAAGAGGAGGGACAACAGCGTAGGATGTCATTGCTTTTGAGGGATTGCTGGGCTGAGGAGTAATGGAGATAGATAGCCAAGTTTCCTGAAGGTGCCTGGGAGTATTGGCAGCACAAGAAGCTGCCCCACTGCTGACAAGATGTTCCAAACTCCCTGTGTGTTGGTTTTGTCCTTGGTGCAGCTCACTGAAGTTGCACATGACGTTCATGAAATGAAGTGAGGGGAAAGTTTTGTGGCTGAAATCCTGTGCCAAGTCTTTTTGAAGTTGTATGCAGCAGCTGTGCTGTAGCTAAAGAAAGGCTTTCTTTGCCTCCATCGTAACATCTGCATGGTCTTTAGCAGCAGAATTGTTCCACTGTGATGTGTCATTTAGCTAATCTGGGTTGCCTTCATTAAGTCTTTTTTTCTTTTCCTTATTAGAAATGCTCACATTATTTTGGGGACTAAGTTTGCAAAGATCTGGACTTGAACTCATCTATGTTGTAACAGTAGGTTTCAGTAAAAAAAAAAAGTCAAAAGAAGAGTTGAGCCTTTGTAGCTCAATGAGTCTCTAATTTGGGCAGCTCCTGATGAACCTCATGAATTGGATTTGTCTGTGTCCTCCCTTGTTTGGAGGATAAGGGCTGAATATGGGGCCAGTTTTTGTGGAGATGCCACCAATGTGGCTTCATTGCAGCTAGCATGGGTCTAACAGCTTCCAGATATGTGGCTTGCACCCTCCTTCCTGAGGTGTTAACCCTGTCTCCCTCGTGCCAGTCCCACTGCTGCCGCAACTCTGGGCTGAGCTGGCTCAGGGAGTCAAACCAGTGGTCAACTAACTGTGTTTTTGGTCAGGTCACTTGGCTGGCTCTTGAATTCTTTGAACTTCCTAACTGCAGAGTTGGACAAATGTCTGTGCTGAAGATGACCTGGAAGAGAGGAATGGCAGGACCAGCCTCTTCTAGATTCTAGATGGAAAAAATCAGATTGGCTCATCTGCACCTTTAAAAACATGCCTTGACTTGAGGCAGAGAGAAGGCAACCAAAGGAAGTGTTTTTAAGTGCCTGAGTTAGACTGTATACTGTGTTTACTTTGAAAGTTAAGTGGAGAGAAATCAATAAATCAGGTGTAATTGAATTTGAAATTTTAGCTTTGGTGTTTCTTTTAGTTGGAGGTTTTTACACAAGGACTTCTAAACTGAATCTTTGTTTCATCTTCTTCCAGCGCGAGGCTAAGAGGCCTGTAATTGTTCACTCTCTGTTAGCACTGCAAAGATGGTGAGTTCTTATAGCTAAAGGGTAGGATCTAGTGGTCAGAAATAAGAGGCTGTGGTCTCAGAGGGCAAAACAAAAGTAGTAGAAATGCTGCCCCTTCTCAGTGTTATGGATTTTGGTGATCTTGGCTGTAAATACCTTGCATTTATAGGAGTACTTGACTCTTAATATGTATGTCCTGAAATATTACCTGGAGGAACAGATTGTAAATTAAATGTGGGTGGGGTTTTTTAGTAAGTAAAAATTATCACATTTTATCATCAGGAAATACTGGATATGCATTTGCTTTTCAGTTGAACAGCATGATCAGTCTTCCTGCTGGAATGTGTCACTGGAAAAGCAGAGTGCTGATTTACGTAATTGTACTCATTGCAGAAGTTTGGTTTGTGAGATCCAATTAACATAAGTAAGCAAAGTAAGAGAAAAGGACAGGAAACACACTGCTGCTTATTAGAGTTGTTAGATGATATTTTCAAAATTGCCTTCTATTCAAATAGTGATTTTCTTCAATTTATGTCAGGGCTATGTTTCTCCCCACACTCAGTGTCTATAAAATTGAACATATACTTGCCACGATGAAGAATGAATACTATACTGTGTACAATAACAAAGCTACTATTACAAA